GAACTTCATGAAGCATATACAAGTATCAATAGCCACATCAATCAAGCAGAAGAAATGATATCAGAGATTGAAGATCAACTTAATAAAATAAAGCATGAAGACAAGATCAGAGAAAGAAGAATTAAAAGGAATGAACAAAGCCTCCAAGAAACATAAGATTATGTAAAAAAGACCAAACCTACATTTGATTGGTGTACCTGAATGTGACGGGGAGAACTGAACCAAGTTGGAAAACACACTTCACAAGATCATCCAGGAAAACTTCTCTGTTAGCCAGACAGGCCAACGTTCAGGAAATACAGAGAATATCACAAAGATACTTCTCAAGAAGAGCAACCCCAAGACACAATTGTCAGATTCATCAAGGTTGAAAAGAAGGAAAAAATGTTAAGGGCCACAAGAGAGAAAGGTCAGATTACCCACAAAGGGAAGCCCATCAGACTAACAGCAGATCTGCAGAAACTGCAAGACAGAAGAGAGTGGCTTGCATTTTAACATTCCTAAAGAAAAGAATTTTCAATCCAGAATTTCATATACAGCCAAACTAAGCTTCATAAGCGAAGGAGAAATAAAATCCTTTGCAGAAAAGCAAATACTGAGGGGATTTTGTCATCACCAGGCCTGCCTTACAAGAGCTCCTGAAGGAAGCACTAAATATGGAAAGGAATAACCAGTACTAGCCACTGCACAAACTAACCAAAATATAAAAACCATTGACTCTATTGACTCAACTAATGGGCAAAATAACCAGCTAGCATCATAATGACAGGATCAAATTCACACACAGCAATATTAACCTTAAATGTAAATGGGTTAAATGTTCCAATTAAAAGGCACAGATTGACAAATCGGATAATGAGTCAAGACCTATTGGTGTGTTATATTCAGGAGACCCATCTCACAGACAAAGACACATATAGGCTCAAAATAAAGGGATGGAGGAATATTTATCAAGCAAATGGAAAGCAAAACAACAACAACAACAACAAAACTGGGATGGCAATCCTAGTCACTGATAAAACAGATTTGAAACCAACAAAGATAAAAAAAGACAAAGAAGGGCATTACATAGTGGTAAAAAAAATCAACCACATAATTGGAAGCAAAGCACTCCTTAGCAAATGCAAAACAGAAATCATAACAACAGTGTCTCAGACCATAGTGCAATTAAATTAGAACTAATACTTAAGAAACTCACTCAAAACTCATTGCACAACTACATGGAAACTGAAGAACCTGCTCCTGAATGACTACTGGGTAAATAACGAAATTAAGGCAGAAATAAAGATGCTCTTTGAAACCAATGAGAACAAAGACAGAGTGCCCACAGTCTCTGGGACACAGCTACAGCAGTGTTTAGGGGGAAATTTATAGCACTAAATGCCCACACAAGAAAGCAAGAAAGATCTAAAACTGACACCCTAACATCACAATTAAAAGAACTAGAGAACCACAAGCAAACACATTCAAAAGCTAGCAGAAGACAAGAAATAACTAAGATCAGAGCAGAACCGAAGGAGATAGAGACATGAAAACCCCTTCAGGAGCTGGTTTTTTGAAAAGATTAACAAAATAGACCACTAGCCAGACTAATAAAAAAGAAAAGAGAAGAATCAAATAGGCACAATAAAAAATAATGAGGAGAACACCACTTACACCACAGAAATAAAAACTACCATCAGAGAATACTATAAACACCTCTATGCAAATAAACTAGAAAATCTAGAAGAAATTGATGAATTTCAGGACACATACACTCTCCCAAGACTAAATCAGGAAGAAGTCAAATCCCTGAATAGACCAATAACAAGTTCTGAAATTGAGACAGTCATTAATAGCCTACCAAACAAAAAAAGCCCAGGTCCAGACAGATTCACAGCTGAATTCTACCAGAAGTACTAAGAGGAGCTGGTACCATTCCTTCTGAAACTATTCCAAACAACAGAAAAAGAGAGACTCCTCCCTAACTCATTTTATGAGGCCAGCATCATTCTGATACCAAAACCTGGCAGAGACACAACAAAAGAAGAAAATTTCAGGCCAATATCCCTGATCAACATCAATGCAAAAATCCTGATTAAAACACTGGCAAACCAAATCCAGCAGTACATTAAAAAGCTTATCCACTAAGATCAAATCAGCTTCATCCCAGTGATGCAAGGCTGGTTTAACATACACAAATCAATAAACATAATCCATCACATAAACAGAACCAACGACAAAAACCACGATGATCTCAATAGACGCAGAAAAGGCCTTTGATAAAATTCAACACTCTGGGCACTCAATAAACTAGCTATTGATGGAACATATCTCGAAATAATAAGAGCTATTTATGAAAAACCCACATCCAATATCATACTGAATGGGCAAAAGCTAGAAGCATTCCCTTTGAAAATCAGCACAAAACAAGGATTCCCTCTCTCACCACTCCTACTCAACTTGGTATTGGAAGTTCTGGCCAGGGCAATCAGGCAAGAGAAAGAAATAAAGCGTACTCAGATAGGAAGAGAGGAAATCAAATTGTCTCTGTTTGTAGATGACATGATTGTATATTTAGAAGACCCCATCGTCTCAGGCCAAAAACTCCTTAAACTGATAAGTAACTTCAGCAAAATCTCAGGGTACCCAATCAATGTGCAAAAATCACAAGCATTCCTATACAATAATAATAGACAGAGAGCCAAATCATTAGCAAACTCCCATTCACAATTGCTATAAGAGAATAAAATACCTAGGATTACAACTAATAAGGGATGTAAAGGACTTCTTGAAGGAGAACTACAAACCACTGCTCAAGGAAATAAGAGAGGATACAAACAAATGGAAAAATATTCCATGCTCATGGATAGAAAGAATCAATATCATGAAAATGGTCAGACTGCCCAATTTATAGATTCAATGCTATTCTCATCAAGCTACCATTGACTTTCTTCACAGAATTAGAAAAAAACTGCTTTAAATTTCATATGGAACCAAAAATTGTATTGCAAAGCAAGTTACAAAACATGTGTACCATATAATGACATGTATGTAAATGTTAAGAACTAAAGGCCATATATGCCTTGTTTATATAAAAGAGCATATTAGTATTTCATTGCTAACAAAGGCACCCAGGATCAAGCAAGAAGAGGGAATGTCTCTCCTGACATAAATCTTTTTTTTTTTTTTTTTTTTTTTACAATTTTGTAAGAATTTAATGTGTAAACATAAATCTTAAAGTTTTGACATGCCCAGTTTTTCCAACTAGCTGTACATTACTGTCATTCATAAATTTCACAAATCCTTCTTGGACCACATAAAAAATTTGTGTCTATACCATTACTTGAAATTCATTAAGTCCCATAATTATCTTTCTATTTGTCCTAAACGAATCCCAAATTTATCAAAGTTTGCCTCTTTTTCTAGAATTTTAAAATTTCTTGAATAAGCCTATGCTCAACTTAACCAGTGTCTTTTTAGATTGAAGATCATTCACCCTTTTGGTCTACACTCCTTTAGCAGAACTGCCATTTTTCCTCTCAGTCTAGTGGACCTTCTCTGGTTAGTCCCTATTTCCATTAGATCTTTTCTAAAAGATCTAATTGCCAAAACTGCACACAAGGCACGTGATGAGGAAATATTACAGATTTACCCACAGGTAGGATAACCATCTGGTTCGTCTTCAATAACTCTCAATGATGCTGAATGCTATGTTGTGATTTTTCTCATTAGAGTACTAAACTGCTCTTTTCTACACCCATAATAAATAACTACTAGGTCTCTTTTCTGAGTTACAGTTTCAAATGATTTAGAACTATTTTAGATTCCTTCTGAATATTTCCCTCACCTATTTTAAAACCAGTTAACAACTTTTGTTGTTGTTCAAGAACACAAATTTTGGAGACCTTCCTAGAGCTATCATTTGTAGCTCTGCCTTATTTGAAAACTATTCAGAGTCATTACTCTAGTTCATTTACAAAGATGCTAAAGAATTCCAGTCCTAGCACTGATCTCAAAGACCTGATCAACTATTGACATTTTTTAATCTATGAAATTATGCTTTTATCCCTAGGACCTCCCTCCAGAGCCTTCGTTTCCTCCAGATCCCTCCTCCCAATTCCAAGGTAATTTAGCAGATCACTCATTCGTTCAAGAAATCTTTACTGGCATCTACTCTGTGCTAGGCACAGAAATAAGGTGTTAGGACTACAGCAATAAAAACACAAGATCCCTGCCCTCAAGAATTTCAGACTGTATCATATTCACTAGTGATCCTTTTTTTTTTTTTTTAACCTGCCTATTTTACTTCTCAAAAACACTAGTCAGGCACCATTTCTTTATTCACACATTATTTGCTTTTCCCTAAAAGAATATTTATTGATGCTCCTGCTGTTAACATTCAATGGACTAACCCATGCAAAGATTAGACAGAATCACCTACATATTCTCAAATCTTTTGACCTGCACTAAAATTCAGTAGCCACTAGCCCCAAATGGCTATTTAAATGTAGATTAATTACAATTAAATAAAATCACAAATTCAATGAAATAAAAGAAAAATTCAGTTCCTCAGTTGCAACAGCCACATTTCAAGCGCTTTAGAGCCATAGGGGGCTAGTGGCTATCATCTTGGGCAGCACAGACTTGGACCATTTCCATCACCACAGAAAGGTCTTTTGAACAGCAGTGGTCTAGAGAATTCTCATATAAGGAGTCACACAGTGGCCACATTAAAACAATAGGTTATATACTTTGGCAAATAATTACTGCCTTCTTCAATATTCACATAATACCACCTGCTACTAGTAAGTTATTTATATTCTTTTTGTCAATATGGTCTAAACTAGCTTAAATACAGACTACTGAATATTATTTTAATTATAATCTAAGTCAAAATATCATTCCTTTTCATTTTATGTGAGCCACAGAATATATGACTGGAATCCATAATGAAAATACCTAAATAATGGTAATGATAATAATCAATTCAACATGGGAAACATCTTAAAGAAACTTACCCTCCTTCACTTTCTGCTTCCTCTGAACTATTACTTGTTGCTGAACTTTGAATTGTGGGGAGCCTTCTTTTTCTTGCTCTGTGCTGAGGGCTTATCTTATGAACAGTCACTTTCCCTCCAAGTTCATCTTGTATATATTCCTCCAGCTTTGGAATAGCTTCTTTAAGAAATCTGATTTCCTCTTTGAGTTCTTCCATATTTGTCAGTAATTCATTTAACTTCTCCATTATCTGAAGTTGCCTTTCTTGAAAGATCACTGTTGTTCCTTGGTCATTATGTATTTCATCTTGCAAAGTTATTGAATTACATGTATTACCCAGAGAAAGAAATTTAGGTAAATGCATTGCTATCCCAGGTTTACGGACCTTGTGGTACCACAAGAGCAGCAAGCTGATTCCAGCAGTTCCCACCATGATGCCAAGTATCAGTTCTTTGTTCGTGGAATGAGGCATTTCTTGGTTTTGGTTTCTAAAACTAAAAATATAAATGTAAATGAATGTCATTTATGTCTTTGTCCAAGACAAAAATATAGGTGCTTTTTCAATCAACGCAAACCAAGTTTACATCACAGGATTTATAAAAAGTGGGACAATAGCCCAAAGGATGGGAAGGGACAAATGGAAGTATACTGTTGTAAGAGTCTTAGATTACAATGAAGCATTATCATATAAAGTTAAAGATGCATAGCCGTAAACCCTAGAATAACCACCAAAAAACAAAAATCCAAGGTAATACATAATAAGACAATAATAGAGATAAAAATGGAACACTAAAGATACTCACTTGGTCCAAAAGAAGGCAGGAAAAGGAGAAAAAAAGAACAGATGGGCAAATAGAAAACAAACAGAAGAGAAATTACACCATTATAAAATGGGAAAATGGTGCCAAAAGATCAAGAAGTAACAGTTTTTGTCAACAGAAAGACCCCCTAAAAAGAAAAGAAAAATGGATGAAATACAAGTATAGTAAACTGCATAGCTACATAAACTTGAGAAGGCAAAGGAGATGGGCTCTGTTGCACAAATACAGGGGTTGACCTTTGATGGGAATACAAACGATTCATTCATAGTAATAAAAGGCAGATTATGTGAGCAGAGATTTAGGTAGGTCGGTAGATACGGTGGTGGGAAGTTACACAAGCTCTCTTTGATTGTGTCACTCTTTTAAGTGAGATAGGAAGAAAAGTAAATAGCTGGGAGTAAGAATTGGGGAAAATATATCAGGAATAGCTGGGAGTAAGAATTGGGGAAAAAAATATCAGGAAGATGAAAATTCTGAATTAGGTTATATACCTGAAATTCACCATCCTCTGCTTTATATACTATGATTCCACATATTAATCAAGCATTGTTTCTTACACTCTAAATGGCCAACTAAATGTTTCAAATGCTTCCCTGGTGGTCTAGTGGTTAGGATTTGACACTCTGAAATGCCCTACAGAAAAGGGTCTGAGAGAACAAGCAGCCATAATCTATTTCTGAAAAGTCTGCTTAAAAGAAGAATATTTATCTTTCGATTCCTATTTCACTAGATTACATGCCTGGAATACAGAAAGTATCCTATTTGGATGCTCTACACTTCATTACAGGCCTAATTGTCAATGAGAACTGAATTTAAAACAAATCTTCTAGAAATTACCTCAGGTAGTGAATATCATATCCAAGAGATTTAAGAATACCTTCTTTTAAACCAAAGACTTCAGAGAAAGCCTTAGTACTTAATCTGGCCTGCTTGACCTCAGAGAAATTTGTCTGGAATTAACTTAAAAATTTTTTTCCACTTAATTGGTATAACTGGGAACTGTAAGTCTAACCATCTGCCCACTCCCAGTCCATCCAGGAGACATGCCAGCAGCAGAATCCAATCGATTTGTAACTTCAGCTGAAATTGCAGCTAATTATTACTAGATGTGTAAATGTATTCTACAAAAATATTATACCATGAAACTAAATTATCTTGAAAGCTTATTGCAAAAAGATGATATAAGAAAAGTCACTATATGCCCACTAATTACAACTGCATTACAGCTAATAATCACACATCAAGTTCAATCATCTTGATTTTTGTCAATCAAATTATTAAGGCAGGATGTCCATACGCTGAGCTAGAGATCTATTAGAGGGAATCTTCCTATTCTGATTGTTTCTTTTGTTCATACCTTGGACTTCTACATTAAGAAATATAGTCCAGTTGGAAAATATTTTCATTTAATAAGCAAATAAGTAGCAGTAAAAATCTATCTAGGAAGGAGACCTTATTCTTGAAACAGGACCAGGTTTCAGCAGGTGGGAAAGAGTTGTATTTTGCTTGGCACTTTCTTTAGAAACTGCACCAATTCCAAATAATCTCTTCCTGCAGGTCCTATTATTATTTTGCAGATAAGTGAACTAAGGCACACAGGTGTCAAGTCTTTTCTCCAATGATCATCCAACTAGGAAGTGAAAACTGTCACCTTTGACACTCTGTTCCTAACTCTTGGATGCACGCACAACATGTGGAAGATTTGGAAATCATCAACAAGGAGGTGAAGGAGAATGCCGACTGAGCAGAGATGTTGAGAGCTGAAAAATTATTTCAGAACCAAGAAAACTAACTAGAAGAAAAATAGAACGAATGGAGCTAAGTTTTAAATAAATGCAATTAAAGATAAATCAAGCTATGATTTTTACAACAGTATAAAATGAATGTGCTTCAACACAGATAATTTTTAAAATGACACATTAAAAATAACGTACAAAATACATCAGAATATTTGCTTGCCTGCAGAATAATTTCAAAGGTTGTAGGAAGTCATCTACATAGCTTTTTTTTTGAGAGAGAGTCTCACTCTGTCACCTAGGCTGGAGTGCAGTGGTACCAATCACTGCTCATTGCACCATTGACCTCTTGGGCTCAAGCCATCCTCCTGCCTCAGCCTCCCTAGTAGCTGGGATCACAAGCGTGGGCAACCATGCCTGGCTAATTTTTAAATTATTTGTAGAGAGTAGGTCTCCCTGTGTTGCTAGGCTGGTCTGGAACTCCTGGGACCAAGCAATTTTGCCTCCACCTCTCAAAGTGCTGGGATAGCAGCGTGAGCCACCGCCTCCAGCATTTTCAGCTTTCATGCTTCTAATTATGTTAATAGCATACAGTTGTATCATACTACAAAAATATAGTAATTAAAAACTTTACTAAATGGATTTTAGAACTCTAATAATCAGATACAAAGTATTATCTGTTACATTTCAATCTGCAAGGTGCTAGTAAATAACAATAGAAAATGGCAATTTAATATAGATTATGGCACCCAAAATTAACGTGTCATATTAATCAAAGGTTATTAACAGAGATGAGAATAAAATATTCTAAAATGACATCCAAATGTTGACTCTGAAGAAAATTAGAACATGAAAATGAAATGTTTTCTGAAGAAATATCTAAAGAAACATTTCATTTCCATGTTCTAGGTTTATTTCAAGTTAATTTTTAGATGTAAAAATTATGTTTTACAAAATTATAATGCTTTCACCATATATCTAGCATATATTCATTTACCTTATCAGCAGACACTTAGAGGAGAAACATATAAAATGCATAACTCTAATAAACTCGGGGAATGTAAGAAAAATTCTGCAAGGATCCTGAGACATTACAAAAAAGCCCGAGGTTTAAGTTTCCTAAGGGAATTGAACTGAGACCTTGAACTAGCGATCAGATTTCCCACAGCGTCCCGGAAAACCTGGCACTTTCGAAGTTAATTCTCAAGTTCACTTCACCAGGTTTTCATAATTTTTTGTATTTTATAATTTATTTTAAATTTAGGGCTCCCAGATGTTTGGATTATTCGCCTTTGTTGCAGAACTGATAATCTGGCCTTCATTTTTGTGAAAAACGGTACAGACCAAGTCTGAGAGCAAAAACCCCCACACAAACAAAACACAAAACGTTTGCGTAAGGCTGAAAGATCCAAAGAGCTGAAGCGAGAGCCCAGCAGGTGTCTCTGCTGAAACTGTGGTTTGCAGGATCCAGCCAGACCGAGGCAGCAAACTGCCTGCTCCCCACGGACCCCAGAAGGTGCGAGTAAACACCAGCGACCTCCGGGGCTAAGGCTTCGGTGGCGCGGAGTCAGCGAGAAATTCGCCCGGAAAACCACTATGGGCCGCTGCTCCAGCCCCCGGAATGCCAAGAAGCACTCGCTGGCGGACTCAAGCTCCGCAGAGACACGCCGACCCGGAAGTGCAGTCGTCGCCACCATAATTACTTCCGCTTCCCTCCGCAAGTCCCCGGCCCAGTCCGGCCTCCGCCGGCTGAGTCGCCCCCTTCCTAACTGCGCACGCACCTTCACTGCGCCGGCCTGTCGGCGGTCGGAGAGCGGAAACCAAGACCTGCTGGCGGGCGGCGGCGGGTGGACTGGAGCACGGGAGCCCGCGGGTCCTAAGGTCTCGTGCCGCGGCGGTCGCGTCCTGACCCAGATAGCGGAGGCGCCGGGGGAGGAGCCCGCGGCCGCTCGGCCGGCCGCTCCCGCCCCCTCTCGCGGTGGGTTCATTTCCACCGGGACCGACGTCCCGTTCACATTTTCCAAAATAAAATTGCGCGCTGCTGGGCCCCTGGCTTGCGCCGAAACGTGTGGCTCGGGGCCGTCGCCTCCCTTCGAAGCCGGTTCGCCCCGGTGCGTTCCCTCTCCCATCGCTGCCACTCCCCAAGCTCACCCAGCCCCCCCGCCAGCTCGCTCCGTTCCCACTCCCAAACCCACTCCGTCTCCCCTAGATAATCCTTTTTCTGTTCCCTTTCTAGGCACCACCTTGCACTTTGTTCTGCACGACTGAGTCAAACGCAGACGCCTTGGACTAATTACTGATAACCGCAGCCCCGTTGTCCTAACGTTAACTCACGTTTTCTTTTTTTTTTTTTTTTGAGACGGAGTTTCGCTCTTGTTACCCAGGCTGGAGTGCAATGGCACGATCTCGGCTCACCGCAACCTCCGCCTCCTGGGCTCAGGCAATTCTCCTGCCTCAGCCTCCTAAGTATCTGGGATTACAGGCACGCGCCACCATGCCCAGCTAGTTTTATTGTATTTTTAGTAGAGACGGGGTTTCACCATGTTGACCAGGATGGTCTCGATCTCTTGACCTCGTGATCCACCCGCCTCGGCCTCCCAAAGTGCTGGGATTACAGGCTTGAGCCACCGCGCCCGGCACGTTTTCTTTTAATGAGCAATTTTGCCAGCCATTCTGAGTTGCCTTTAGATGAAAACCTCTGTCTTTTCCAGATGCCTGACATTTAGTTTTACCCAGTTTTCTGTGGTTTGTGTAATGAAACCAATTCTGTTAAATACATTCTTAAAAACTGGGCCGAGCGCGGTGGCTCACGCCTGTAATCCCAGCACTTTGGGAGGCCGAGGCTGGCGGATCACCTGAGGTCAGGAGTTCGAGACCAGATTGGCCAACATGGCGAAACCTCTATCTACTAAAAACACAAAAATTTAGCCGGGCGTGGTGGTGGACACCTGTAATACCAGCTACTGGGGAAGCTGAAGCAGGAGAATCGCTTCAATCCCGGAGGCAGAGGTTGCAGTGAAGCGAGATCACGCCATTGCTCTCCAGCCCGAGACAGAATGAGACTGTCTCAAAAAACAAACAGAAAACTAAGTTGTATTTGAGAAAAGAGCAGACTAATCCTTAACCTCTCAGATTTGAAACTGTAAAATATTACTCTCTGCAAACCCACTTTCACTCTTACTTGTTATGGTTTACAGCAGTCTTGCAATATAGTACTAATACTTGCTTTATTTAGAATACAATATGATATAAACCTATCATGCAAAAAAAAAAAGTTTTTTAAGAAATATTTAGATACCAAAGCAACTTTACTGTCTCTTCGCTAATACTTAAAAGGAGCTATTTAGTATTTAAAAGAAAATTTAAGCTTTTCCAGGAGCCCACAGAGTTGTTCACTGCTGCACCCCCAGCACATAGCACAGAAGAGGATTTCAATAAAAATGTGGCATATGGGCTATGAACAAGGCCTTGCCAGTGTATTTCAAGAGGAAGATGGCAGCTGATACTGACTTGATCTTCCAGTTCAGGACATAGAGCCAAATTGCTGGACTCCCTCTGTATTCTTATGTCACACTTGCTCTTTTCCAATACTTTTGTTTCTATTCCTTGATCAGTAAAAATTATCTGAAAAGTAGAAACTCAGGGACGGTGATAACCATTGACCTTGGCAAAGCTAAAATTAAATATCAAAGAGAGACATTAACTTTGCCAGGTGCTTTTGCAGGGGTGATATAAAAAAGAAGAAATGGGGCCGGGCACAGTGGCTCACGTCTGTAATCCTAGCACTTTGGGAGGCCGAGGTGGGTGGATCACCTTAGGTCAGGAGTTCAAGACCAGCCTGGCTATCATGGTGAAACTCCATCTTATTAAAATAAAAAATAAAAAATAAATGATTCCGTTCACCACTGCTAGGAGTGTTCAGTCTAAAAGGAATATCTGAAGGAAAATCAGAACACACTAAGCATCTCTGAGTTGCTGTTACTCATTACAACCAGTACAGCATTACAATCATTTGGGAGGAGTAGGTATAGACCCTTCATGATTTGCCCCAACCTGCTTTTCCATCTTTTCTCCACTACTTCCACCAGACATCATTATACGCTTCAGCTCTAGCTAAGCTACCGATCCACAAGCTGTATCCTTTTTATCCTGTTCCTTGTGCCTGAAGTGTCCTGCTGCTTGCCATGTGTCCAAAACCAATTCATCTGCTTTAACCTCTTTCCCTTGAGAAACTAGACCCTCTCCTTGCCCATAAGAAGTATTCATCCACCCCCCATCAAAACTTATGGAAGGATCAGGAATTTAAATGAATACAAAACTCCTCCCTGCTATCTTACAGCAAACCTCTGTCATGTACACTATATATAATTACTGCGTGCTAGTGACTGTGTTTGTGATGCTGTGAACATCTTCAAGGATGGTAGCATTTATCTTTCTATCTTGGGAACCTGGCATGGTGCACACCCTCTATATTAGAAAACTATTTGAAAAAAAATATTTGAAATAATGTACATTTGAGGGAAAAGCATTAGAAAATGTATGGTCCTTCATTATAATAATGTGAGATGGGTGTGTCAATAGTTTTTTGTTTTTTCGGGGGTTTTATCTGAGTAGTTTTATTTCCAGGAAGCAATTGAATGACAAAGTTAGTTTTAACCCCATAACAATACCAATATGCTATATAGTTAACTATTCAGTTTTCTTGTTCCCTGTTGTTAAGTATTTCCAAATCTTATCAAACTTACAACCTGAAATTTCTTTATTTGTAAACTGAGGGCTGAGCTGCAGGTATAAATAGTACCACTATGCAGTCCCCAACCCCTACTTCAAAACAGCAGAATCAGCCTTCATTGCCAGACTGGTTTTAAGGAAGTATTTTACTGCAAAAAGCTGGGGGGAAAAAATTTAAGTTAAGAACACCCTAACCATTGAGAGAGGGAGTTTGAGAGAGGGAGAAGTGCACGGGCAAAGAGCAGGGGTGGAGGAAGAAGTCCTCCAGGTGTACCTGAAGCTCTAAGTTCCCCGAGTCATTTGTAGAGGAGGAGCAAACAGCAGCAGCAACAGCTCAATAAACTCAATAAATAAAGACCATTTATTGAGTCTTCTACACAGTTTTCAAGCTTCATTCTTTGTGAATTATCTTATTCAATTTTCCCAACAATTGAATGAAGTAAATAACAGACAGGTGAGGAAACCAAGACTTCAAGAGGTAGAGAAACTTGTCCCAGGTCACATAGTCAGTTTTAGAGACACTAATCAAACCTAGCTTTATCTGAGAGCCTTTTCTCTTTAACCCCACCCAGTGGACCCCCAGACCCTGCCTTTGACAGAACACTTGAGTGGGCTCTTCATAGCACCATTTACAGTTACATCATAGTCCTTCTAATGTGATACTACATCATTTGTATCCACCACTTCAGTTATTTATGGTTCAGCTGTCACTGCTTCTGTTAGAGGAGAAACTGAATCCTCAAATCTGATTATTTACCCCATGGAGGTTTTCTGCAGTTTACCGCAATCTCTAATCCACAGAGTATAAAATTACTTTGTTTTTATGATATTCAGGTTAGGCTAGGAATAGAATTTGGGGAAAAGAGGAATATAATACTATGTCTGATGTAGTTTAAAAAAAATTAGGCACTCTCTAGAACACAGGAAAATTACAAAAAAATTTTCTGAAAAGAAACTAACTTGGACTTTCTAAGGGAAAAATGTTTTCTCTGAAAAAAGCATTAGGATAAGCTTACTAAATATTTTCATTTGTTTCACTAAGTGACTAGTGGAACAAATTATTAATCACTTATTCAATAAAATGGTTGGCCTACTAGTTCTATACTCAACAAATTAAAAATGGCATTTTAGAAAGATATATATGAAAGAAAAATTAACAATACATATGTTCTACTACTTAGCAGTTCAATGTTGAATCAATTTATTAAAAATATACATACCTCATTAAGATAGAGAATTCTTATTAGAAAGTTTCTATTTCATTAGAAAAATTAAGTTTTTGTCCCATGAAAAAAGTCATTTTCAGAAAGGCACATACTAACCTTGCTCAGTGGTTTTCAGCAGTTTTTCCGTGACGGTTCAAGAAAAGAATGAAGTTTCTTTAGAAATTGTGGAAGATTTTTTTAAGTCACATTCCTCCACTGATTTTTCCATGGCCTTTGTAAATAAAGCACAGCCTTGGATACAATCTAAGATGGAACTTGACAGATTCAGAGGAAAGAGTGGTTTTGCCCCTCCCTCTGCATTCTTTCTTCATCCTGGGAGATGATGTTCAGGGACGCTCTTGACAGTATATACATCAACTTCACAAGCCAAGGTCAGTTTCGTTGGGCTAAT